TCATAGGGTTATAGGGTTATCGGGTTATAGGGTTACAGGGTTTAGGGTTATAGGGTTTAGGGTTATAGGGTTATAGGGTTGTAGGGTTGTAGGGTTTTAGGGTTTAGGGTTTAGGGTTATAGGGTTCTAGGGTTATAGGGTTGTAGGGTTATAGGGTTTTAGGGTTTAGGGTTTAGGGTTTAGGGTTATAGGGTTATAGCTTTGTAGGGTTTAGGGTTATTGGGTTGTAGGGTTTAGGGTTATAGGGTTTAGGGTTTTAGGGTTTAGGGTTTTAGGGTTATAGGGTTTAGGGTTTTAGGGTTCAGGTTGAGCCTTAAAGCTTGGGGGTTCAGGGCAGACGTAGTAAAGCCCGGCTAAAGCAGTCAAGCCCCAAAGTCCTAAAACCCCGAAGAAGCCGAAATAAGCCGTTATGATCTCTATATACTACACCCCTTCTACGTACCTAGTAGGCCCGTAGAGTAAAGACCCTAAGCCCCCGCAAACCCCTGCAAGAACTTCAGCGCCCGAAGCCACAAGATGCGCGGCTCTTGAAGCCGACTAGTAGGGTTTAGGGTTTAGGGTTTAGGGGTTTAGGGTTTAGGGCCGTTTAGGGGTTTAGGGGTTTAGGGTGGGCCTCTAGCCCGAAACCCTAAGTTTACGAAGCCCCAAGCCCCAAGTCCGAGACCTCTCGAGGACGATTAAATGATTCAACTAGCTACCTACATGGTTCTCGTCTGGTTATCGGTGAGGGGGTTCAACATGAACTGTATTAATATGGAACCAAGCACCCTTCACAAGAGGTTTATGGCAGTTGAGCTGAAGCCTGATCCCTCATCGGTACATCCGAAAGCTGTCCAAGAATGTGTCCCCAACCCTGGCGGTATGGCAGATACAGAAAATGAGGGGCCCCAGTTTCGACCTCAGACAGTACGATCCTTGACAAAAGGATGACCCTACACCTTGTACTGCAGGTGGAATGCAGGCTTCAACGCTAAATCCCTAGGCCCTAAACCCTAGTCTTTCGTGCCCCTAAACCCTAAACCCTAGGCCCTGCACCCTAGTCTTTCGTACCGTCCGGACCTGAAAGCCTGAAAGTTCAGTTCAGAAGTTGTGAAAGTTTGGGGTGCCAGGGTTTGAGGCTTTGGTTGCCGAGATTCGGGGGTTTGGGCGTTTGCGGTCAGGAGTTGAGGGGTTTGGGGTTTCAGGGTCTGTTGGGGTTGCAAGATTTCCAGAATGAGGGGCAGTTTGTGAGTTTGAACTATCGAGGTGCAAACAAGCCTTGATTTTGCAGCCCAAACCGTCCCAAATCGCCTTGGCATGCAGGCCTGTTCAAGGCTCAGCGGCTTTAGGGTTTAGGGGTTTATAGGTTTTATACGTTTTACTAGGGTTTAGGGTTTCTACTACGCAACACCCTACTTACCAAGTCCCCTCGGAAATTCAATGCGAAACCCAGCAGGCACACCGTGGCCACGAAGCAGAATCGCGATCCGGAACGCCGCTGGGTAGCTGCAGCCAGTGGGGTGCCCAGACGAGTTGCCAACTCGTAGGATCTTTTGAGATCTTACTTAGGGTTTAGGGTTTAAGGCCCTTCGTGTTTGAGATCTTAGGGCTTTAGGGTTTTAGGGGATCTTCGCGGAGCTTTGGGGTTGAGGGTTTATCTGGACCCGAAAGAACCTACCCTCTTTCGGGTTCCAAGTCATGATTTCCTTGTACATGTCCTTGAGGCGCTAGGTTTTTTAGGCTGAAGGTAGGATTTGTCGCTTAGGGAGAAAAGCGGATGGTCTGAATTCTTAGAGCCTCCGCATTTTGATTTTGGATTGGGAATCATGGGCACAGGGCAACCAACCCTAACCCTAAACTTTCCTAAACCCTAAACCCTAAACTTTCCTAAACCCTAAACCCTAAACCCTAAGCTTTCCTCAGCCCTAAACCCTAAACCGCCTTCTCAGGTCACTTGTTCGACGCGACAGAGGCGGAGATGAAGGAAATGACCGGCTACAAGCCACACACTCCTGCCTCGATGCACAAGGCTGGGCCGCGACTCTAAGGGGTTTAGGGTTATAGGGTTATAGGGTTTAGGGTTATAGGGTTTAGGCTTATAGGGTTTAGGGTTTAGGGTTCTGGGTTTAGGGCTTAAGGTTTAGGGTTTAGGGTCTGGTTTTTCTGTTGCGCTTGGTGGTTGAAAGCCATGGACCCTATAGGCCAAGGCTTTCGCGGAAAGCCATACTCGTGCTCTTCCACTCAAATACAAGCCAGACACATCTTCTTGCAGCTGTGCACATATAAACAACTAAAGCAAGCACAGCGAAGATGCTGATTTTGGTGCAATCCAAGACATTTTCAGGTGGGGGGTTACCGTTATAGGAAGGTCTATATACCTTATAGAAGCCTTATAGAAGCCCTCTATACCCTAAACTCCCCACCTATAGTTTCCTTTTTAAGCCAATGGGGAAAGAGGAACTGCGCATATCGAGCAAGCACAGGCAGAAGCCCTTATTATTTAGGGGTCACGCAGGAACCTAGTGACGGTATGTGATAGTCACCCCAAGCCTCGAAGCCCCAAACACTAGTGCGGCAGCAAGGCAAGACTGATGCCGCCCCCACAAAATGATGCTTGACAGTTGCACAAAGGCCAGGCCGAGCATGCAAAATTTGCAGGCCTTCCTTCCCCGGTCAAAGGCCTGCAAAGCTCTGCAACATTTCTGCCAGGCAGTCAATTCCCAAGCAAAGGAAGAGAACAAGCTTTCTCACACTAATTCACTGACAGTAAACTGTAAACCTTAAACCCTAAACCCCAAACCTCGACATAAACCCCTGAGCCAGGCATTTGGGTTCCTGCACATCCAGTCACTACCACTGCCGGAGAACGTGGCTCTTCCACAGGAGCGCCGGGTGTGGGGCTTTAGGGCTCTTCTCCCAAAGGGTCGGTCCTAAGTGCCTAGATGGGGAATACTTGCCCAACCCTAAACCCCCAAACCCCTAAACCCTAAACCCTAAACTCTAAACCCTAACCCCCTAAACCCTGAGCCTTCGATGTGCTTTGCATGTTGGGGCTGAGGTCGTAAGCTCTTTTTTTCTGCCTTTCGCGCCGGCTCGGCTTCAGGATTTCGGGAGCCTTCTGGCTTTTGTGCTCAGGATTTCGGGGTTTATAGGGGTTTATAGGGATTTATAGGGTTTTATAAGGGTTTATAGGGGTTTATAGGGTTTTTAGGGTTTAGGAGTTTAGGGTTTAGGGTTTACAGTTTAGGGCTTAGGGCACAGGGGTTTGGGTTTAGGGTTTAGGGCTTCGAGTTTCGGGTCAAGGGCTTGTGCAGTTGCCACTGCACCACAGGATGTCGATTGGCGCCAACACACGCCGACATCGAACTTTGTTCGCACCCAGGCGCCTGCCTGAAACGTGTGCTTGAGGGTGTTTCTTACCTATAGTCTCCATGGTAGTTCCTTTTTTGGGTTAACGATATTTTTCTAAGATCCTATGAGGTATCCCCACAAAAGGAGCTACAGTGGAGACTATAGGTAGCATTGATTGTGGCAGACGTGGTTTGGACGAATTTCTCGCGTTTCAGGGGGGGGGGGGTGTTCAGGCTAAGCCTTTCCGGGGCTTTAGGGTTCGGAGCTTCTTGGCTCTCTTGCTGCCTTCGCGGGGTGGAAGCCAAGAACTCCGAAAGCCGAAGTTGGAGAAGTACAATCTCAACATCCCCAAACCCTCAACCCTAAACCCTGAACCCGAAACCCTAAACCCTGAACCCTAAACCCTAAACCCTAAACCCTAAACCTAAACATCCCTCAACCCTAAACCCTAAACTTAACATCCCTCAACCCGAAGCCCTTCGAGTTTTTGGGGCTCTAACCTTCGGCTCGGAGCCCGGAGTCTCGGGTTCGGTGGTCTGAAACCAGAGTTCAGGGTTTAGGGTTTAGGGTTTAGGGTTTAGAGCTCAGGGTTCGAGAGCCCAGGTTCGAAGAAGTTGTTTTTCTTGTTTTTCTTTTCTTTTTTTCGGTCTTTGGCTCGGACCCGCCTAGAGTCTCCATTGAGTTTAGCCTTTTAGGCTCCCATATCATAGGAGCCCGAAGCCCTAAACCCGATAAGGGAACCCCAAGAAGGAACTACCATGAAACCCTAAACCCTAAACCCCTAAACCCTGGTTGAGTACTTGCCTTCTGCTACGCAGATTCCCGAGCTAGGAGTTAGCAGACGGAAAAAGGCCCTCAAAAAAAAACCCTAAACCCTAAATTTTAAACCCTTAACCCTACATGGAGACAATCGACATTGGGAGTCCGGGCTTGCCTCGGCTCTTGGCCCAAAGTCCCTCAAGCTCATAACTCTTGCACCCCTAAACCCAACCTCGACCCGATAGCACCTACCTTTTTCCGGGATACGTACTATGATTGCTTCCTTTCCCAGTATAAGGTAGGTGTTTTTTGAGGTTAAGGTAAACCCGAAACACTAAACTTCCATAAGCTCAAAGCTCTTGCTGAAGGGAAGCTGCGGCTCTTGCTGGGCGGTTGCCTCGGCCAATGCTCTGGAGATGCATGCAGAGCTGAAGCTGGGTCCTTATGGTGTAGGGCTTAGGGTGCACTATGAGCTAGGTATCGAGTTGGCCCGTTTTTGATTCCGTTGATTGTGTCAATATAGAGCCCTAATCATGAAGAGCTTTCAGGGTTTGTTGAAAGCGGCACCTCGCAAGTAAAGGTGAACCCAAGCTTAAAATTCTAAACCCTGAACCAGGTCCTTTCTCAATGCAGGATCTGGACTAGTTAGGGTTTGCGGCATAGTTAGCGCAGAGAGCTGCACTTTTGCAGACGCAGGTTTCGCTGATCAGTGAGTGAAGCCGGCTCCTTTTCCGATGTAGGGCATAACATCATTACTCCAAAGCCCATTCCGGCCATTAAGATCCTTTTCCATAACACTTGTATAGGAACCCTAAAAGAGCCTTTATGGTAACCTGTCAAAGGAGCCTCGTTCTAATGATGAGACGACGATTTGTAGGGATTCCTAGCCGAGGCCCAGCATAAAAAACGACTCAGGGTCTCTTCATGGCGGAATCCAAAGGGTCCACATATACTGCTATAGAATTACGTCCCCCTACGCCATGATTGGGATGGTCTGCTGGAGGCTTAACCGAAAGAAGTACTCTGGGGAATCCGTGTTTTGAAGGGATTGGCATCCCTGGGGTTAGTGGGTTTAAGATTTTTCGGGGTCTTTTGGAGTCTTTAAGCAGTTTGAGCAAGTCCCGAATGCTGAGGAACGGCCACGGAAGTGCCGGCGTGGCTTACGAAGAGATCTTGAGCTGCACCCCAAACAGGAAGCATTGTGGAGGAGACGGCGGGTGCTCTGGTGCGACGGCAGAACTGGCCTTCCAATATGTGAAGGAGACGGGTGTTTCAAGTTTGGGGTTCAGGAATTAGGCTTGATCCCTTTGTAATACTTAAGCCTAAACACGAAACTCACGGGTTTAGGGTGCATGACTACTGTATCTTGATGTCGGACATTGTAAGCAACAGCAACAGAAGGGGTTATGCTTTCTGGGCATGGCGCTCCAGCTGAAAGGTGCAGGGGACGGAGCAAGTATCTGGCTATAGTTCGGGAAACTACGCTTGCGTCTAGCCCGCAGGGTCTTTTTCATGTTAAGAAGTTTCGACTCGTCTCAGGACAGTGGCGTCGTAATGAGGACGCCCGAGATGGCCGCCGGAGGAGTTTGGGGGGAACGTTGTGGGATGCAGCCGGGGCAGCGGATCTGGACGGATGGCTTCGTACGCGTCACGCCGAACTTAGCGCAACCTCTGGTGCCTGCCACGAAAGAGAAATGTTGTTTTGTTTCAATGCTTTGTAGCGTCTGGTGCTGGCAGCTAAATGTCAAAAGATGGAATTCAGAACCGCCCTTTGTCACCCTCAACGAAACAAGCAGCGGCACGAACGAAAAACCCGGGATCCAACATCCCTAATCCGGGCATACTGCATCCTGCTTTGATCATGAGCTATTGGAGTCCTTGTGGGCAGCGAAAAGTGATGCAGCAAATCCGAAATCCCTAAATCCAAAACCCCAAACCCTGCACACGAGATTGGATTTTGTGTTTTTGGGCTAATTAAGTTCTATACAATCCGCAGGCTAAGCCCTTGGCCAGTCCAGGTGCTAGCCATCGCCATGCAGGGCCCGGTCGTCGTGTCGGCAGATGCGACCAACTGGGAGACGCGGATTAGGGTTTAGGGTGGGGGTCGTGGGATTGTACCGCCGGAGTCTTACATAGAGGGCTTGGTGTTCAAGGTTTCGGATGTTGTATTCAGGTTTTTTCGGGAATCCTTTGTTGTAGGCTTTGGTAGTGATGTTGTTAGGTTGCAAGGACCAGGCAAAAGGCCAATGTCAAATCCCGGCTTGAAGCCCTAGCTCTAACCCCTGAACTTTGTTGGGGGGTACTGTGGAGCCCGAAACATCAGGGGCAGGTACCCTTTTGCGTCTGTGTACTTGTCGCGTATCCTGCCCCAACGCTACATCTTCCAGTCAGCTTTAAGAGACACTTCGGAACCACTTACAGACATACGAACATGCAAAACGCCGTCACGCCCGAGTCCTCGCATACCGGCCGGTTTGGGGGCCCAGTACGGCTTGACAAATCCTGGTCCTAGTCATGATACCCTTTTCAATTGGTGTTTGATGTATCCGTGCTGCAACCCGAGTTCTTCTTGTTACGTCCCCTTGGTGCTGACTAGATTGCGGCTCGAAGGCCCGAAACCTTGAGCCGAAATCCTGAACTAAACCCATGAAGACTCACGCCCTGCAAATCAAGGGCTTGGGAATTCGGCTTCGGGGATATGAGACCCTCTACCCCAATGCTACCTAAGCACCAAATCCTAAACTCTGAACCCTCAACCCCTAAATCCTGAACCCTAAATCCTAAACCCCAAGTATGGGCCCTCGAACCCTCAACCCAAAACCCTGAACCCTAAATCCTAAGTCCCAAGTATGGGCCCTCAGAGTCCCTCAACATTGATTTGCCTTGTGGAGGAGACGTACAGCTCCGGGATCTTCGACAGTTGCAGCAAGGATGCCAGAGTGACTCTAGGCCCACGGTTGGGGGTTCAGGGTTGCGGGCCGGGTTTGAAGCCCTAAATTACTAAACCCTGAACCCAAATATCCGAAAAACCCTACGTACGTCTAGTTGTAACACGTTCAAGGAACATTACAGGGCCTGGATTCACGGTTTCATTCGCGTTGCCTTGTCCCTTTTTCCGGGTTGTTTTGACATCTTTTCCTGCCATTTGCGGCCCGGTTTGCATCTTGCTGTTTTGGGCTTCACTGTGCTTGCGGCTAAGGGCCTAATATCGGGCTTGAACAAAGAAGAGACAAGTTGCAGTTTGACGTACCAAAACACCCATGGTCTCTGAGTGTTCTGAGAGGTAGGCTATTATCAGACCGGAAGACCAGTGATTTGCTTCGCTTGTGTCACGGACGTCGTGCGCTCAGGAATCATGCAGTTCTGGCAGTCGGCTACGGCCAGTCCGCCAGCGGGAAGTATTTTCTTATCAGGAACAGCTCCTAGGCTCTGGCGCCAAGAGGGTCCGTAAAATTACGATTATGGAATTAAGTTTCCAAAGCCAGAATAAGCATATAATGGTAGTAATCTGGACTCTCTGGGGAGCAATGTTTGCGATCTTTAGGCTTAGGGTGGTTGGGATTTTAGGGTTTGTTGTGTTTTACACTGTCTTGCAGAAGCTGTTGTGAATTTAACTCCTACACCGGGAGTCTCGCCGACATCCAGGTTGGGGTGGAATGTGGGGCGAGCAAGGGCATATCCGATTGCTCCGCTTTGATGATGGCCCCGGGCCCACTCCGGCCTTCTGTGGCACCGACTATCATCCGGAAGAAGGAGTTGCATGCCAAGGCACCTTTCAAGTGGTTGAGGGACTTTGGGTGATGCTTTGCTTCGCGTTGCGGGTGTTCTGCGGAGTTGCTACTAAGGTGAGACCCGACCAGTGAAAGTCTGTGGAATGTGCGGCATTCTGTTGGATTCTGCCTATCCAGTCGGTGTTCGTGTGGAGAGCTCGACAGGCGAGAGATCGAGTGCACAGAAGATGTAATAGTAAGGGTCCTCGCCTGCAGACAGCGCGGTTCGGCAACTGTTTCCTCGCAGGTTCCGCCGGTGTGCGATGCCACAGTTTGTATGCTCATTTCGTGAACTTGATACAGCAACCGGTGCCAGTTGCCCACCCTTTTCCAGGCCTCATTAAAGACAGATGTATCCGGGCTTGCGAAGACACAGTGTGCCAGAATTTATCGGCCAACGCCGAAGTGATGGAGTGCAGCAACGTCTCAGAGAAATGCAGCGGAAGCAAAGAGAAGTCGACAAAAGACTGACGTCAAATTGCATGGTTCCGGTCACTGGCACACCCCAAAAACTGCACACGCCCCAAAGAAGGACACCTAAACGCTAAACCCTGCAGCCCACAATCGAAACCCCCTTTGAGCATCGAAATCCTACCGCAAGCCAATTTAAAGGCTGAAGCCTAAAGCCTTAGCCCGAAGCTGGTCCTGAGCACTAGGCCGGAGCCCTGGGATGCACTTGCACTTCGGCCGACGGCCCAAACATGCAACATCTCAAGCCTGAATAACATGAAATCTATAGGCTGGGAAACCTTAACCATGCAGGCGCACTGGCCTCGTAGCAGCAATCTGTCTGAACCAAAGCCCGAAGCCCTTAGGCTTTGATGGAAGCCCTGAACCATGTCAGCACGTAAGCTTCGAACATGAAGCTACATACATCAAGACATTGCAACGAATGCTGTCGGCGTATGACATGAATATGTTGGCATGTAGCCTCAGCAACGAGACCCAAAACCCTCAAACCCCAAGCCTCTAAACTCTGAGCTCTAGACTCCAAAACCCCGAACCCTAAAGCCTAGACCGAAACCTTAAACCCAAGAGAGGCCCACGGGAAGGCCTTAAACCCGAAAACCCCTTCTAAGCCTTCATCACAAGCCATTACGACACCCAAAGCAGCTCGAAGCCATGGGACAGTCACATGGTGCCGCGGCGACCCAGGTGCCGCACCAGGAGCTTTAATGACTCGACTAGGGCGGCTTATAAATTTACCTAGCTAATGGGAGAACTTGTTCATCTTTTTGGCCTTATTTATTTCGTCTATACTAGTAAGTTTGAGCTTTCTTGGGCCCGGTTATTGAAGAAGCTAGTCAATGGCTTCTACGGGTCGAAGAGGGTCTCATGGATCTTGGTTCAGGTTCGGCTTATTGTTTAGGGTTTAGGGCTTAGGGTTTGAGGGTTTAGGATTGGGGCGGCTGGGGGATAGGGTTCCGTGCCTTTCTGGGTTCAATGTGTTGGGTCTTGTGGGGTTTAGGGTTAGTTCAAGCGGGGCTTAGTCTCGTTATGTGGCCGTGAACCGTAAAGCACGAAATTTGTTCAGACAGCAAACCAGAACGCCACAACCATCCCCAAATCCTCAATCGCAGCATCCTAAACCCTTGAGCCCCTTGCTGCAAGGCAGCTTTCCAGTAGAAGCCTCGAGAAATCAATGATCTCCCAAACCCAAGAAATCCCGTAAACTACGCATGAGACCCTCCTGTACTTATGAAGCCCGTGAACAATCCTATTAAACCCGAAGCCCTAAGCCCGAAACCTACCATAGAACAATCTACAACCCCAGAAAAGCCAGGAGGAGGAAGACGAAGACTCAACATCCGACGAGGAGCCTGGTCTGAGGGTTCAGGGTTTAGGGTTAATGGGGTAGGGTTTAGGGTTTAGGGTTTTAGGGTTTAGGGTTTAGGATTAAGTTTAGGGTATTTTTAGGGTCTAGGGGTAAGGTTTGCGGTTTAGAGTTTTAGTGTTTAGGGTTTGGGGTTTAAGGGGTTAGAGCTAGGGTGTTAGAATGAGGGTACAGAATTTAGGGTGCAGAGTTCAGGGTGTTGTGCTTGGATTAGGTTTAGGTTTAACTGGGGTTTCGGGGTTTTGTCTAGGGTTGAATGCGTTTGGTTTTGGAGGTTGGTCTTTAGGTTGGATTAGGTTAAACGCCCAGGAGGTGGTCTGCGTGGACGCCTTGTCTGACTGCAGCCACCATCAGCTGCTCCTGCAGGTGGGCCGGCCTCCTATGCGGGGGTTTCTGGCTTGAAATCCTAGTTGCAACCTAAACCCGAAACCCTTAACCCCTAAAGCGCCCTAAAACCCCAAGATGCGCACGCAACCTCTTCACGACCCGTGGCATCCTGCCTTCGAGGTCATCCAAGGGCGGCCACCGCACGAAGAAGAGCCCACGCTGAGGAGGGTCGTCGGGGTGAGGGTTCGACTGTAAAGATTCGGTTTTAAGTTTTGGGTTTTGGGTTTAGGGTTTGAAGCTCTTAGCAGGGTTTAGGGTCTAGAGGGCTGTTTGGGTCTACTAATACCTGAATTGAACCCAAACCCCCAAGCCTAAACCCTAAACCCTACGTCAAGGAGCCCCTGTACCAGCGAGTGGGACGGCGAGGACATAGTCCCAAAGACGGTGCTTCTGCACGTGGCCTGGCCACAGTGTCGGGTCTTGGGGGTTTTGGGAATTTGGGTTTAGGGTTCCTTAAGCCTTAACTGTAACCCTAAACCCTAAACCCCCAAACAGGGCGCCTGGCGCTCAACAACCGGAATGGGAATGATGGGAATCTTTACAGGGTTTAGGGTTTAGGGTTCAGGGTTTAGGGCAACTTTACAGCAATCTACAACTTTAATGTAAACCGGAGGAACCAGAGAATCTCACAGCCTCACCTGTGACAACCTCACCTTCAACAGCAGAGCCCAAACTCTAAAGCCCGCCAAGCCCTATAACCCAAAACCAGATTCCTAAACTAACCCTAAACCCTAAACGCTACACCCTAAACCCTTAACCCTAACTATCATCCTGAACCCTATAGTCCCAACACCTGACTACACAAAATCCTGAACCCTTTCCTTAAACCCCTCTAAGGCGCTTGCAGAACCCTTAGACAACCACATAAAGCTGTTTATAGCACCATAAACCTACCTTACCTGAATTCCTGCAAACCCTGAACCCCAAACCCGAAACCCTAAAGCCCTAAAGCCCAAAAGCCCTAAACCCCAAACCCTAAAGATCCCTAAACAGTCTCTTTCACATATAATATAAATGTTAATGGCCTCCGTCGAATAGTTCCCCTGGTTCGTCGAATAGTTCCCCGCTGATTCGTCGAATAGTTCCCTGCCCCCCCGTTCTTAATGGCCTTCGTCGAACAGTTCCCGCTTTCGCCCAAAATTCGTCGAATAGTTCCCGCCTTCGCCCAAAATTCGTCGAATAGTTCCCGCTGGTTCGTCGAATAGTTCCCTCCTTTCGTATCTTAATGGGACGGGAACTATTCGACGAACCAGCGGGGACATTCGACGAAGGCCATTAAGAATGCCCGTTCCTAATGGCCTTCGACGAATAGTTCCCAGAATAGTTCCCAAAAACCTTCGTCCAGATTCGTCGAATAGTTCCCCCTGGCTCGTCGAATAGTTCCCGCTGGTTCGTCGAATAGTTCCCTCTGG